CCTCTGTTTTAATGAGGAAGGGTGCCACCCTCCGACAACAAACAAATAAGAAGCGCAAATGTGGGTAATTATAGCGCGTGAGGGGATAATAGTCCCTGACTCTGCGTGTGAATGTGTGACTTGCGGTATTTGTTTCCAGTGATGGCGTAGAGTTCATCACTCACCTGTTTCATAGAGCTCATTTGGAAAAACCCAAAATCTGAGCTTCACATGAAGAGATGAATTGCCGTCTCTATCTGCCATCCTTTGGGATTTCCTCTTGTGTATTAAAGAGGAGGGAACGCCCATGATGCGAGCAAAAGACATGCAAACTATCAAATCGGAGAGCATTGCTTGGGAGTTATTTCTGATGTGCTGTAAAAAAGATATTTTTTTAAGTTGTAAATAAAACTGAGATTATTCTAGAAGTGAATACTGCTTCAGTGTTCTGTTTCAGAACTTTTGTTTAATTCAATGTGTTACTTGCCTTTTCTTTGTAATTAATTGTGACATTTACTAGCAATTTCTGAGTAAAAATGGTTTGAGGAACATTTATTTGTAATCTGCGAATCGGGTTGCAAATTTTTGTGTTCATTCAAACCGAACTTTCAGAATCGGATTGGATTCATTCTAAATGATTGATAATTAATGCATGCAAACGTTTAATGAGCAGCAACAAATGCAGCAGCAACTCTTCAGGAATGCAACACAATTGAGAAAAATTGATCCTTATGCAAATGAGCAACAATTCAATGCAGCGACGTAGGGATGTAACGTTAATGAAATTTCTTATCACGATTACGGTTATCAGTATTATCACGGTATTGTTAAAATGTGCTGGAGATGTTAAAAAAGTACAGACACATAAATCAACAAACAACAAATAAAATAACTTTTTGTTTGTATGATCACTAAAGCAATAACATTACCGATGATGCTCGGATTTTGCTGACAGCAGGTGGCGCTGATGGAAAAGCAGAATCAGAGCGGTTTCCCGTAACCTCCGTGGACACAGCAGTATTGCGATTAAAACACTTCCTTTAGGTATTACATGGAGCGAAGATGAAAACAATGCCATCGATTCTTTTCTGAAGACGGTTAGAACCTTCAGAGGTAGCCTACATTCATATAAATAATTAATTCATATATTCATTTGTATAATTGCCTTAGCACTCAGCTTTTCCGCCCTGTTTTTACTCAAAACGAAATTACTCTGCGTGCCGTTACTTAAAACTGTGCTTTATGCTGGACAGTATTTATTTATCGCGAGTTGTTCAAATCGCGGTAATCTAATATGGTTTTAATGATAATTAAAAGATGAAACGGTAATACTAACCGTGGGGAATTTTATCCTGATTTATCGTCAAACCGGTAATCGTTACATCCCTAGCGACTACCAACAGGAATAAAGAGAGCAGAAAACACATGATCTGAAGGCCAACTATAGCTTGTTTCCACTGAGCGGTACAGTACAGTACAGTATGGGTAACCCTGATCAGGCTTGCGTTTCCGCTGCCAATAGTACTCTTCTTGATAGGTGTGGTGTATGCCGGAAAGTAGCGATCGACGATGAACCGCGACAATAAGCACAACTCTTTGCCTCTTTTTGTTAAATGTCAATTTTAATGAACCATAATAGATATTATAAAAGTATAAGAGGCTTATATAAGAGGAAATAAAGACAAAAGCAAACAGTTCAGTCAAACGTATGCTACAAAGTCAGCGCTGTACTACGGTAAAGTTCAAAATAAATAGTTAAACACAACTTTGTGCTCAGCCAAAACGATATTACCAGGAATAAATAATAGATTCATGAGACCACGAATGCCTGTTAAATATAGCCTACCCAAAACGAATGGTATCTTGTGTTTAATCACTGCAGAGACATCAGGGCCAGCGGCAAATGTGGGAAAAACTAGCCGAGCTAAGCGGATACATGAGCGCTGATCGCCTGGAGCTCCGAAATCGGCATCGCAAATTTTCAAATAGGCGCCATCTTTATAAATAAACCGCAGATTTGAGTTTTAAACGATTACATTCTCGCCTGAAAAACCCTTAAAACTACATTTCATGACACAATAACAGAAATATTTAGAAAATGACGCGGGTTTTTGGGCAGTGACGTTTGAGAAGTCCACACGAACGCATATTGAGAAAAGGCTATTGTCTGTGTGAAAATATACGATTATAAAATACGCGGTTATATTTTTTTGTGTTTGCGCACTCTGATGTAATTAAGCCCAACGCTCATGGATGGCAAAGCGGAACGAGTGAAGGACGCTTTATCCCCTTGTATCACGCAAAAGTGACTATTCTAGTCAACCAATCAACGTTCTGCGTTTAGCTCCGCCCTTTCGGTAACCTTTGCTGTGCTAGGTACCCCAACGGAAGGGTACCAAAAAAGTGGTACGGTTCGCTATTTTGGTACCATTCACAACTTCTGACAGTGGAAACAGACATAATTGCATACTGTACTGTACCGAACCGTACCGCTCAGTGGAAACGAGCCACTAGTGAACAGCGTTTCAGACTTTCAACAGAAATATCCAGATTCAGTCTTATTTTTGAAAAGCAGTCTCTTTCTGTAATGCAGTCGGCAGTGTTGGTCACAGATGGCCTGAGCAGTCGATCGAGAAGCTCAAATCAGTCATGCTGGCTCATAGTGTGGACTTTGTCGCCTGTTTAAGCATGTTTGATGAACAAATGAAGTCTCTTGCCGCTGATCCAGTGTGGTTTGTTTGACTCCAGGTGATGAATTATTGTTACTCGTGCCCTAATGCATCCGCAGCATCACCTATAGCTCTGTATTCCCAGGTGGCGTCGCTCAGTCTTAACACCCGCGTGTGTCTTGAGTCCCCCTTGGAGTTTGATTGAACGTTTAATTAGGTTAGCCTGCGTACAAAGGATATCTGTGAATGAGTGCCGCTCCCGAGGAGGGAAAACTGTGATTATTCTCTAAAGACGAACGGGGAGTAATTAAGTCTGAATGAGCCGGCTTTGTTTTGTGCATCTCTGCTGTTCAGGTTTATTTGGATGGCGTTTTGTTTTTCATCCTCACACTTGTCAGGCTTGATCTCGGTGCTCTTTCCTCTTTTTCCTGCGCTGGTTCCCATGGTTACTTGAAGGCCTGCTATGCTTTTGGTTTATTCATCTGATGTGTGTGTGTGCATCATGCAACCCCACCTCATTTTCTTGTGCAACTTCTGTCTTTTCTGCTTGTCTGATCTAAATACCGTTTAAAGCCATCATGCATGAGCTCACTTCGACTGTCTTAAAAAATATATAAATGCAACGCTTTACAATAGTTTCAAAGTCGTGATGGAACAGAAATAGTGACACGTTTTCTTCTATATTGTGATGTATATCTGAGTGAAACGGAGTATCGGGGGGAAAAAATGTAGTCCTGTTTCTATCCATCAGTTGTTTTAGTAGAGAAATCCCAATGTTAACTAATTATACACTTTAGCAACCAGAGAGTTAATGATTACACTGCTTTTATGGTATGCTACAGTCTCCATGGTATATATATATATATATATATATATATTATAGAAAAATTAAAACCATAAAAAATTGCATTGCTTGAAATTATATATATATATCTTCTATAACAATTAATAACTTTAACAGCATTTATTAATCTAGATTCTTGTTTATTCTAAATATACATTTTTAACAGTTACATTAACTACTGTGTACATCGAACAATGGTATATTTATAAATTAACATTATCCTAAATTAATAAATGATATAAAATATTGATGTCCATAGTCAATTCCTTAACGACCGCAAATGCACTGAATGGTAAAATGTTACCATTAAAGAATATTTAAAAATTTTTATGAATCTAATGCGTCAAGAATGGCGTGAACAGGATTATAAATGTATTATCATAACCGTTTCTGCCACATCACATTAAGACAACAGCAGAATGCGTTTAACTTCTATGTGATGCATTTGTGAGTGTAGCAGAAATATTTAAGTGGAAAATAAAATGTTTCATAAAAAAAAAAAGAGTAGGATTTGATTGGATTGTGGTCATTAGTATATGATATTAGTGGGTAATATTATTTTACATATTGCATTTCATAGCATTTTAATGCAAGGTCATGAAAAGCTTTTTTTTTTGGCTTGCACTAATAAACCATAATCATGCACGATAAGACTAAGTACATTTAGAAAGCATATAGGGGCAGATTTACCACATGCCTGTGCCGATTTGGTCCATATCGGTGCATCCCTAATTATTTTACATATTGCATTTCATAGCATTTTAATGCAAGGTCATGAAAAGCTTTTTTTTTTTTTGGCTTGCACTAATAAACCATAATCATGCACGATAAGACTAAGTACATTTAGAAAGCATATAGGGGCAGATTTACCACATGCCTGTGCCGATTTGGTCTAGCGTGCACAGTGAGACTTCTGTCGCTTTACAACAACTGAAAACAGCCGTGCAAACGTTCAGCCGCTAGTCTCTCTGCACTGAAAGCCACTAAAAGCCTCCTAGCTCTCCGAGCACCTGTCTGCGGCTTGTGCCAGGCTGTGCATTAGTGTCGTGCCACAAATAGACGGCCGTCCCCGCTGCTCCGCTCCACCTGTGAACATTGAGTGCGTCTGTGTGAAACAGACCATCGTCAGGTTGCCATGGGAACTGAAAAACAGGTATCGCCACTGCAGGCTTGGAGAAATGGAAGCATGCAAGTGAATGAGCATGAGAGAATGATAATTCATAAATAATACTCCTCATTCACAATTACAGGCGTGCGTTGATATTGCAAAGCTCGCTATGACATGTCACAGAGGACATGATATTTTGGCACAAGCAGCGATGGAGGTTTTCTTTGCTGCACCCTAATTATTATTCCCATCACTTATTAAAGGAGGCAGATTTGCTGCACTGCTTGCAATGTTTCTTTAATGCCTCATCCATATTTACAGGACAGATACGAGAAGATGCAAACGTCAACTTCTCTAAAAGGTCTCTAATAGGTTCCTGTGTTGTTTTTCTCTCATTCAGCTATAGACCTTTTGTACGGTGGAATATATTGCTTTGTGTGCCAAGACTACATATACGACAAAGAGATGGAGCAGATTGCCAAAGAAGAGCAAAGAAAAGCGTGGAAATTGCAAGGTAGGCCCCCATCATGCATAATGTAGTTCAACTTCGCCTGTGGCTTAAGGGCCTGTTAATTCAGAAGATGTTGGAAACTGTTGTGTTGCGAGCCACTGGACGGCAAGAGTGTGTGTGTGTGTTTTGTTTTGACACTGATAAGAGCTCATTTTAGTTAATTTTGCTATTGAGTCTGCATAAGTGTGAGATGCAACAGTGCTAGTGACCTGGAGAGGATTGTTAATGGATTAAAACGTACTGACTTTGCTCACACAGGGTATAACAACTTCCCAAAAAAAATTTATTTTTACATTTTTTAAAAATTAAATACTGGCTTAAATGTTTAACTTTGAATTAGCACATGTTTTGTTTATATTTGGAACTGATTAATCAAAGGCCTCATTGATCTGAGCTCATGCACCAGCTTTTGAGTGAACATTGCCAAAATTATCCACAAATTAAGCTTCTTTTTTTTTTTACTCAAAAACTGAAGTGCATGAGCTCAGATCAGTGAGTAAATAAACCAGGCTAAATTATTTGCTTGAGTGTAATTTTAACTAGAATTTATACATTAATGTTAAAAAAAATTTGTCTCTTCTGCTCACCAGTGCTGCATTAATTTGGTCATAAATACAGTAAAAATTGTCAAATATTATTACAATTTAAACTAGCTGTGTTCTATGTGAATCTCTGTTAAACTGTAATGTATTTCTGTGATGGTCAGCTGTATTTTCAGCATCATTACTCCAGTCTTCAGTGTCACATGATCTTCAGAAATCAGTATAATATGCTGATTTGCTGCTCAAGAAACATTTCTGATTATTATCAATGTTGAAAACAGTTGTGCTGCACAATATTTCTGTGGAAACCGTGATGCATTTTATTTTTCAGGATTCACAGATGAACAGAAAGTTCAAAAGAACAGCGTTTATTTGAAATGGAAATACTTTGTTACATTATAAAAGTTTTAACGGCCACTTTGGATCAATTTAATGCAATTTTGCTGAATAAAAATATAGATTTCTTAAAAAAAAAAATGTTGTGTGTTCTCATAGGTTGCTTTATATGAAATATAATGTGAGAATTCTCTAAAACATCAGGTATTGGAGAGAAATATTCAATGTGGGAGCCTACGAAACGAGAGCTGGAGCTGCTGCGACACAACCCCAAACGGAGGAAAATTACAGCCAACTGCACCATAGGTAAGAACATCATTTCCCACAGGCCTCGCTTCTGAGCGATTCCTCTGAAACCCTGCTCAATAATACAGCTCGGCACCTAGTAGTTGATTAGGAGTCTGCCAAAACTCATCTGTGTAAAACTAGTCGGTTCAAGCGATTTTGTAGTAGTCAAGCATCTAGAGACTGCAGGTTGCACCGGAGCCAAAACCGCTCTTTGTCTCTTGGCCAAAAGTGCCATCAGTTTCGAACGTTTGCATCAATTTTTGTGTGTGCATGCCATGACAGGGAGAGAATAAGAGTGCACACAAATAAAGAGAGAAGTGGACGCTGGCCATTAGAGAAATAATCGTTCTCCTCCTCAGCGGTTCGTCTCTCTCCCTTCTCTCGTTTTGGCCTGTTTCTCCTCAGTCAGAGGCCTGGCGGTGGAGTAATAGTGTTAAAGATCTGCACCACAGGCTCAGCGTAGGCGCTAAACGCCAGACTCTCACACGCAGAGAAACGCACTAATGCGATTAGCCATATGAGAGCTGGAGCTTCCATTGATCATTTAGGACATAATATGGCCCATGTATGATAAATTCAGAGGGGTATTGCGTGAGATGGATCGGGCGGATGTTGCTTTACAGACTCCAGAGTAAACCAGAGGCATGCGACGACGCAGCGAATCACGACACAAAAGCTCGAGGCTGCATCAGCTGGAAGTGTTAAAGCATGTTCATTATTAAACACGGACCAATCAGCTGTGAGCTTGATGCTTGACTTCAGTGACAGAAAAATTAAACAAACTTTTTTGATACCAGTAGATTTCTATTCTAAACTAGTGTTGGGAACTGAGAGTCGGTTCTTGTTTAGAACCAATTCCATTTTTAAAAAAATCTAAAATACTGTAACTGAATGATGTTAAATATCTGAAAAAAGTCTAAAAAGTCTAAAAGTCTGATTCTCGGGCAAATGACTCTTTTGAGCCAGTTCTTTATAGTGAATCAAAAACATGCAGTGCTTTACATACAGTTCTTTATAGTCAATTGATAACACACAGTACGACCCGTGTTATCCAGTCGATTTCTGAACTAATGACTCTTTTGCGTTTGTTCTTTTTTTAGTGACTAAAAACCTATAGCACAACCAGTGTGATCCAACTGATTCCTGACAGATTCCCAAACAAAAGACTCTTTTGAGTCGGTTCTTTTTAGTGAATCAAAAACATACAGCACGGCCATAGTAGTCTGATTCTCGAGCAAATGACTCTTTTGAGCCATTTCTTTATAGTGAATCAAAACCATGCAGTACTTTATATACAGTTCTTTATAGTCAGTTGAAAACACACAGCGCGACCCGTGTTATCCAGTCAATTTCCAAACTAATTATTCTTTTTTTGGCGTTTTTTCTTTTTAATTAATCAAAACATACAGCATGACCAGTGTGATGCAACCAATTCCTGAACAAATGACTCTTTTGCGCTGCTTGTTTATAGTGAATCATACACAAAGTGTGAGCACTGTAGACAGATTCCCAAACAAAAGACTCTTTTGAGCCAGTTCTTTATAGTGAATCGAAAACGAACAGCGCGACCAGTGTGATTCAGCAGATTTCTGAACAGATGTCTTCTGAATTATTCCTGGTGAATCAGAACCATACAGCACAACCTGAGTAGTCTGATTCTTAAGCAAATGACTCTTTTGAACCAGATCTTTTTTGGTGAATCAAAAACATACAGCATGTCCACAGTAGTCCGATTCTTGAGCAAATGACTCTTTTGAGCCATTTCATTACCTTGAATCAAAAACACAAAGCACGACCAGACTGATCCAACCGATTCCTGAACGAACGACTCTTTTGAGATGGTTCCTTTTAGTGAATCATGCACATTGTTGTTTTGTTTGACTGTGAACATTAAAATCCCATTTTTTGTTTGTTTTTAAATAATGAATAGTTTAGGCTGACTTCTGAAATGATATCAAATATTCCAAATATAAAGTACACGGATCATTAATGGAACTGGAATCACTACCAGCATCATTTAATTACCTACAATAGCAATGCCTAATAACTACTCAGTTATTTGATTTGTTTTTGGTGTGTCTGGAATCTGGATGCTTTGCTCGTGGCCAGCGCAGATGAGACTGAAGCAGGGGGTCGTTATCAGCAGGCGTGTGTATGATGTTCATTCACTTGTGTGCATAATATATTGGCACTTTAAAGAGTGCAGTGCCGCAGGAGGCGCTGGATGAGGCCGGACGTGTGTCTCTCTCTCAGGTCTTCTCACTGCTGTCTCCATCCCTCCCTTTAATTTAACTCTGGGAAGCGACCTCTGAAGACGTTTAGCCACCCTGTGAGAGCAGAGTCGCAGGCCTTCTGTAACCTGTCAAACTGTACGAGCGGGAGGACTTCAGCTCAGCGGGAGGAGACTCTGACTGACGGAGAGTTTGGCTGTGCTCGAGCTTCTGGGGTTATGCACTTCAGATTGAGACAAGGACATTTACGTTGTGAAAATGCATTGGTTTGCTCAATTTTAACCATTTGCACAAGCGCTTGACTGGAAACTTCATTTATCAAACCAAGATCATAGTGTCCCTGCAACCCGTGCCGGCAGAGCAGATTTTCTAATAGGCCAAGAACTCCTTCCCACCCTTTGTTTTTGTTTTTATAAATGTTTTATGGCCTTTTCATTTCTATTTATTTATTTTTTGTTACCCAAATTGGTTTAAATGTAACCTCCAGGAGAGTGCAAATTTTTTAGTATTATTATTTTTGAATTTATGTATATTACTCATTAATTATTATTTATTAATATCTAATACAAATAAATAAAAAAATACTAATAATATGGGCAAACAGTAAATACAAAGTCAATTAATAAAAATGTTGTTGTTGTTAAGTTACAAAAAAATATAAATTACTAATAAAAATTGATACAAAGTAAATTAATTTAATTTTTTTTATTGTTTATACATTATAAATAACTAATAACTATTGTTTACACATTGTAAATACTAATTAAAATCGACAAACGGTAAATACAAAGTAAATAATAAAATATTGTTCAATAATAATAATAATAATAATGCTTTATAAATAATAAATTGCTAATAAAAAATTATAACACTAAACAATACAAATTAAATGAGTAAAATAATGTATAAATAAAAATGAATTACTAATAAAATGGTGATATCTAAATATGAAGTAAATGAACAAAAATGTTTTATTATTAAGAGTAATTTATAAATAATAACAGATAAAAATGATACAATTAAATACAACGTAATGTATATTATCATTATTATTAATTACCATAATTATTATGATGATAGTAATAACAATTGTATTTTTTAAATGTACTTTTTATAGTTTGTACTTTTTAAATAATATATTATAAAAAATACCAACAACAATTGTATTTTTTTTTCCATTAATTTACTTTGTAATTGGTCAATTCTTATAGTAATTTATTATTAGTAGTAGTAGTATATTTAAGTTAAAAGGAAAAACTAAAAATATTTGAATTTAAAACCATTTAAAAATGTACTTTTTATTAACAATTTTATTTAACAGTTACTAGTGATGAATCTTTTATTGTGAATACTCCATGTCCGTCCTGTTTTCTAATGCTCTCCATGCTTCCTGTTTGCTCTCTAACAGGACTGAGGGGTTTGATAAACCTCGGGAACACGTGCTTTATGAACTGCATCGTTCAGGCTCTCACACACACTCCGCTGCTGAGGGACTTCTTTCTGTCCGACAGACACAAGTGTGAAATGCAGTCCAACTCCTGCCTCGTGTGTGAAATGTCTCAGCTCTTTCAGGAGGTGAGCGCTCAACACACACACACTCACACTCTCTCAACACACACACACACACACACACACACACTCAAACTCACACACACTCACACTCACTCACTCACTCACTCACTCACTCACTCTCACGCACACACACACGCACACACACACACACTCACACACACTCACTCACTCACTCACTCTCACTCACTCACACACACTCACTCACTCACTCACTCACTCACTCTCACGCACACACACAC